TGCAATGGCACAATCTCAGCTCACTACAACCTCTGCCTCCCGGATTCAACTGATTCTCCTGCCTCAGCCTCCCAAGTAGCTGGGATTACAGGCATGCACCACCATGCCCAGGTAATTTTGTGTTTTTAGTAGAGACGGGGTTTCTCCATCTTTGTCAGGCTGGTCTCAAACTCCGGACCTCAGGAGATCCACCTGCCTCAGCCTCCCAAAGTCCTGGGATTACAGGTGTAAGCTATCACACCCAGCCTAATTTCTGTATTTTTAGCAGAGACAGGGTTTCACCATGTTAGCCAGGCTGGTCTAAAACTTCTAACTTCAAGCAATCCTCCTGCCTAGGCCTCCCAAAGTGCTGGGATTATAGGCCTGACCCACCATGCTTGGCCTTAAGTATTTTTTAAAGGTTCTGTTTAACTGGTATACAGAATTGTATCAAAGTTGCATGTTTTGTTTTCTACTAGGTGTTCTATTACTCAACAGGAATCTTCAAGTATGCAGGTGTTCGAGAACCCATCTATGCCACTGTCGGTGCGGGTGTGGTTAATACTATCTTCACTGCAGTTTCCGTAAGTTGGATGGTTTGATAATTTTGGGGGAAGAAAAGAATCCTTGCTACAGATCTTCAAAGATGGATTGCATGGCTCTACTATCATTTAGTTATACCTTTTTTGTTGTTTAATTTTTTTTTCGAGACGGAGTTTTGCTCTTGTTGCCCAGATTGGAGTGCAATGGCTTAATCTTGGCTTACCACAACCTCTGCCTCCTGGGTTCAAGTGATTTTCCTGCCTCAGCCTCCTGAGTAGCTGGGATTACAGGCATGTGCCACCACACCCAGCTAATTATTTTGTAGTAAACTTGTTTTTCCTCTGTTTTTACACTAAAACAACAATAATAATAGAAGATTTCTGTGACCCCCAAAATACATGAGGATTTTTCCCTATCAAGTAAGCAATCAGTTCTGTAGTGGACACTATCTAGTTGTCCTCTGATTTAATTCTGACACTGTCTAGTAGCGACGGGGTTTCTCCATGTTGGTCAAGGGGTCTCGAACTCCCAACCTCAGATGGTCTGCCCACCGCAGCCTCCCAAAGTGCTGGGATTACAGGCATGAACACTGTGCCTGGCCAGTGCTACCACTTTTCGCCTGGCCTGCCCAATTAGCTGGGACCACAGGCGTGCGCCACCACGCCCAACTAATTTTTATATTTTCAGCAGTGACGGTTTCGCCACATTTGCCAAGTTGGTCTTGAATTCCTGACCTCAGGTGATCCACCTGCCTTGGCCTCCCAAAATGTTGAGATTATAGGTGTGAGCCAGCTTGCCCAGATGGTTTAGTTGTCGTTGGGAAAAAAGAGATCTATTCAATGCTGGGTGTAGTCTTCACTCTTCAAGCAAATATGGGTTGAATGGGAAAGGAGGAAATATACGAGGGACTATCTAGTATGCTTTCAACTTGAAATTGGAGGAGAGGTGTTTGAAAAAACTCTCAAACTGTGTTTTTCCTCTGTTTTTACACTGAAACAACAATAATAACAGAAGATTTCCGTGACCCCCCAAAATATGTGAGGATTTTTCCCCATCAAGTAAGCAATCAGTTATGTGGTGGACACCATCTAGGTGTCCTCTGATTTAATTATGACACTGTCTCCCTGGAGACAGCATCACATCTCACAGGTTGATGGCCCAGTTCCCAGGACGGCCCCACTCTAATGCCAATCACAGGCTCCAGGCTGTCTGACCTGTGCTTCTGACCCATGAGCTAGAGATCAGGATTCCCACAACGCCCTCTTTGGGTTTGACTAATTTGCTACAGTGGGTCACAGAACTCAGGGAAATTGTTTCCTAGTTTGTTTTAAAGGATACTTGAAAGGACAGAAATAAACAACCAGATGAAGACATTCATAGGGGGAGGTCTGGAAGGGTCCTGAGCATGGGAGTTTCTGTCTCGTGGAGTGGGTGTACTCGTAGCACGTAGATGAGTTGGTGACCTTCCTGTCAGCTTCCAGGGCTTCAGATATCTGGAAGCTCCCCACACCCTGCCTTTTGGGCCTTTTATGCAGACTTCATTGGTTCTCCATGATTGAAGCATGGACAAAGGTTCTGAAATGTGATTGGACAAAAAGGGTATGATCTGAACCCAGCAAGGCCTGTCTGTTTAGATTATTTGTTGGCCTCTGTGTAGCATTTCTTCCTCTAGGGTGTGGGGCAAGAGCCTCTCTGAAATGAGGGTTTTATGACCCACAGTCAGCTTAGAGTCCCACCAAGTGGGAGAGCAGGAGAAAGTCAGAGAAGAATTCTATTTTCTGAGGCCTGCTCCTGAGGCCTAATGCATCCCAACATTATAACAAAAGACAGTGGCAAGGGCTGTGGGGATTTTGAGGCAGGACCTGTGGATGGAAAGCAATATGTGTCTATATAAAATCGAAAATCACAGGAGGTGTATGTGTTAGTAAGTGTTAGTAAGTGTTCTGTGTTAGTAAGGCAGATTTCAAGTAGCTCAGACATTCTTCATGGAAAGAAAAACTGAAGTTTCATGTCATATTCTTTCTCTTCTAGCTATTTCTGGTGGAAAGGGCAGGAAGAAGGACTCTGCATATGATAGGCCTTGGAGGGATGGCTTTTTGTTCCCTGCTCATGACTGTTTCTTTGCTACTAAAGGTGAGTGCCTTTTGAGTGAAGAAAAGCAAGGGAGGGGGAGGAGACGTTACAGTTGACTTCCATGACACAGCACGTGGGTTGTTAAGGTTGAAGTTTGTCAATAAAGTCAGGAGAGAAGTCAGATACCCAGAGTTTTTAAGAAAGGTGGGTCATTGGAGAACTGGAGGTTAACCGTTAGAATCCTTACATTTATAGAACATTTTTATAGCTTACAAATTACCTAATTTAATTCTTAAAATAATATCAAGATGGCTGGGTGTGTTGGCTCATGCCTGTAATCCTAGCACTTTGAGAGTCCGAGGCATGCGGATCAGAGGTCAGGAGTTCAAGACCAGCCTGACCAACATGGTGAAACCCCGTCTCTACTAAAGACACAAAAAAAAAATTTAGCTGGGCATGGTGGCACACACCTATAATGCCAGCTACTTGGGAGGCTGAGGCAGGAGAATTACTGGAACCCAGAAGGCGGAGTTGCAGTGAGCCAAGATCCCACCATTACACTCCAGCCTGGGCAGCAGAGCAAAACTCCATCTCAAAAACATAGTAATAATAATAATATCAAGGTAATCACACTTTACTGATAATGACATGGTCTCTGCACAAAGTGGCATATATGAGATCACATAGATGGAATTCAAAAATCCAAGTCGGGCCGGGCGCAATGGTTCATATATCTATCATCGCAAAGTTTGGGAGGCCAAGGTGAGAGGATTACTTGAGCCCAGAAGTTCAACACCAGCCTGGGAAACATGGCAAGAAACGGTCTCTACAAAACAACAACAACAAAATGTTTTGTTTTTGTTGTTGCTATTGTTTTTTGAGATAAGGCCATGCTGTGTCACCCAGGCTGGAGTGCAGTGACGGGATCTCAGCTCACTGCAACCTTCTCCTCTTGGGTTTAAGTGATTCTCCTGCCTCAGTCTCCAAGGTAGCTGGGAATTATAGGCGCACGCCACCACACCCAGCTAATTTTCGTATTTTTTTTTTTTTTTTGAGACGGAGTTTCACTCATGTTACCCAGGCTGGAGTGCAATGGCGTGATCTCGGCTCACCGCAACCTCCGCCTCCTGGGTTCAGGCAATTCTCCTGCCTCAGCCTCCTGAGTAGCTGGGATTACAGGCATGCACCACCATGCCCAGCTAATTTTTTGTATTTTTAGTAGAGACGGGGTTTCACCGTGTTGACCAGGATGGTCTCGATCTCTTGACCTCGTGATCCACCCGCCTCGGCCTCCCAAAGTGCTGGGATTACAGGCTTGAGCCACCGCGCCCGGCCTTAATTTTCATATTTTTTAGTAGAGACAGGGTTTCACCATGTTGGCCAGGCTGGTCTCCAACTTCTGACCTCAGATAATACACTCGCCTCACCCTTCCCCAAAGTCCTGGGATTACAGGTGTGAGCCGCAGAGCCCAGCCAAAAGACAGTTTGTTTTTTTTTTAAGACGGGGTTTCACCATGTTAGTCAGGATGGTCTTGAACTTCCGACCTCAGGTGATCCTCCTGCCTTGGCCTCCAAAGTGCTTAGATTACAGGCGTGAGCCACCACGCCCTGCCTACAATTTGTTTTTTAATTAGGGTGTGGTGGCACATGCCTCTAGTCCCAGCTATTTGAGAGGCTGAGGTGGGAGGATCACTTAAGCCCAGGAGATTGATGATGCAGTGAGCTGTTACAGCGTCATTGTACTCCAGCCTGGGCAACAGAGCGAGACCCTGTCTCTAAAAATAAAAATAAATTCAAGCCTTTTGACTTGACAGCCACTTTCTGTACTACAGGCCAGGACCGTAGGAGGTTGCCGTTAGTTGCGTCTGGGAACCTAGACCCTAGGTCATGCTGTCTTTACATTTAATTTTCTCTGTTCTTTCCTCTTACAGGATGACCATAATGGCATGAGCTTTGTCTGTATTGGGGCTATCTTGGTCTTTGTGGCCTTCTTTGAAATTGGACCAGGCCCATTCCCTGGTTTATTGTGGCTGAACTCTTCAGCCAGGGCCCCCGCCCAGTTGCGATGGCAGTGGCCGGCTGCTCCAACTGGACCTCCAACTTCCTAGTCGGATTGCTCTTTCCCTCTGCTGAGCTATAAGGTAAGATAACTCACCTTATTTTAAAACCAGCCTTTGCCGCATGCGCAGTGGTTCACGCCTGTAATCCCAACAATTTGGGAGGCCGAGGCAGGTGGATCACTTGAGGTCAGGATTCGACACTAGCCTGACCATTATGGTGAAACTGCATCTCTACTAAAAATGCAAATATTAGCCAGGTTTGGTGGCACATGCCTGTAGTCCTAGCTACTCAGGAGGCTAAGGCAGGAGAATCACTTTAACCCAGGAGGTGGCGTTCATGGTGAGCCAAGATCACGCCATAGCACTCCAGCCTGGGAGACAGAGTAAGACTCCATTTCAGAATCCAAACAAACAAACAAACAAACAAAAATTTTACTAAGAGAGATGGGGTCTTGCTATGTTGCCCAGGCTGGTCTCAAACCCCTGGGTTCAAGTGATCCTCCCACCGCAGCCTCCCACAGGGCTGGGATTACAGGCATGCACCACTGCACTCAGCCTAAGGATGTATCTTTTGTCCATAAAATTATGAAGAAGAAAAAAGACGTGGCTGGGCGCAGTGGCTCACACCTGTAATCCCAGCACTTTGGGAGGCTGAGGTGGGCAGATCACCAGAGGTTAGGAGTTCAAGACAAGCTTGACCAATATGGTGATACCTCGTCTCTACTAAAAATATAAAAATTAGCCAAGGGTGGGGGCGTCTGCCTGTAGTCCCAGCTGCTTGGGAGGCTGAGACAGGAGAATCGCTTAAACCCGGGAGCCAGAGGTTGCAGCGAGCTGATGTTGCATCACTGTACTCTAGCCTGGTCAACACAGCAAGATTGTCTCAAAAAAAAGAAAAGAAAAAAGAGGCTGGGTAAGGTGGCTCACACCTGTAATCCCAGCACTTTGGGAGGCCGAGGTGGGCAGATCACGAGGTCAGGAATTCTGGAACAGCCTGGCCAACGTGGTGAAACCCTACCTCTACTAAAAATACAAAAATTAGCTGAGTGTGGTGGCATGCACCTGTAATCCCAGTTACTTGGGAGGCTGAGGCAGGAGAATCGCTTGAACCCAGGTGGCGGAGGTTGCAGTGAGCTGAGACTCTGCCATTGCACTCCAGCCTGGGTGACAGAGCAATACTCCGTATCAAAAGAAGAAGAAGTTTTGCTCATAAGCGATAAAAAGAAAAAGTAAAAAGAAATTTGTGCTGGTTTTGCTGTCACACCACAAACTGCCAGGATTACAGCCATAGTGCCTGCCAAGTGCTTAGTTAAGATGGAAAAAGCATAAGATTTATAGGTGGAAAACATCAGAAACATGTTCTGGTTCACAGCAGTGGGGTTCATAGGCGTCTGCAGTTTCAGGCGTCACCGGGGGTCTTGGGACTTATCCCCCATGAATAAGGGAGGTCTGGTTCAGGGGGATATATCATTCCAAGACAGCTAGTGGATGTCTGATATCTTGGATTGTACCCAAACCTATACCTGTATAGACATCACTGTTTTTTCCTATTCATACATACCTATGATAATGTTTTATTTTTGAGACAGAGTCTCACTATGTTCCTCAGGCTGGTGTGCAGTGGTGCAATCTTGGCTCACTACAACCTCTGCCTCCCGAGTTCAAGCAATTCTCCTGCCTCAGCCTCCTGAGTAGCTGGGACTGCAGGCTTGTGTCACCACTCCTGGCTAATTTTTTGTATTTGGTAGAGATGGGGTTTCATCCTATTAGCCAGGATGATCTCGATCTCCCAACCTCGTGATCTGCCCACCTCAGCCTCCCATGTTGGGATTACAGGCATGAGCCACTGTGCCCGGCTGATAACGTTTAATTTATAAGTCACTCACAACCAAAGTTTTTTTTTTTTTTTTTTTAGAGTCTTGATCTGTTGCCCAGGCAGTAATGCGATCTCTGCTCACTGCAACCTCCGCCTCCCAGGTTTGAGCGATTCTTCTGCCGCAGCCTTTTGAATAGCTGGGATTACAGGCGTGTGTCACCACACGTGGCTTATTTTTGTATTTTTAGTAGAGACGGGGTTTGGCCATGTTGACCAGGCTGGTCTCAAACTTCTGACCTCAGGTGCTCTGCCTGCCTCAGCCTCCCAAAGTGCCGGGATTACAACTGGTCTCTCTCTCTCTCTCTCTCTGACCGTTCCCTTTCCCTCTTCTCCCTCTCCTTTGCCCTTTTCCTCTCTCTATCAAAATATCTTATTGTACTCTATTCGCCCTTCTTGTGATCTGTCAATCTAATGACCAAGATAGCTCCACAGTGACTAACAGGTGGGTAGCATATATGGCATATACGGCATGGACAAAGGGATGATTCATGTCCCATGCAGGTCAGCATGAGATTTCATCATACTACTCAGAATGGCAGGCAGTTTAAAACTTATGAATTATTTATTTCTGGAATTCTCCATTTAATCTTTTTGGACTGTTGGTAACTAAAACTGTGGACTGTAAAACTGTGGATATTGACCAGGCGCGGTGGCTCAACGCTTGTAATCCCAGCGCTTTGGGTGACCGAAGCGAGCAGATCACAATGTCAGGAGTTTGAGACCAACCTGGCCAACATTGTGAAACCCTGTCTCTACTAAAAATAAAAAAAAATTGGCCATGCATGGTGGCAGGTACCCGTATATAATCCCAGCTACTCAGGAGGCTGAGGCAAGAGAATCATTTGAACCCAGGAGTCGGAGGTTGCAGTTAGCCGAGACCACACGGCTGCACTCCAGCCTGGGCAACAGAGGAAGACTCTGTCTCAAAAACAAACAAACAAAAAACTGGATAACTGGGGACTACTGTAATTACTGATGCCATGAAAGATTACACATTGATCAGGCGTGGCAGCTCTTGCCTGTAATCCCAGCACTTTGGGAGGCCAAGGCAGGTGGATTGCCTGAGTTCAAGACCAGCCTGGCCAGCATGGTCAAACCTCATCTCTAGTAAAAATACAAAAATTAGCCAGGCGTGGTGGCAGGTGCCTGTAATCCTAGCTACTCGGGAAGCTGAAGCAGAAGAATTACTTGAACCCAGGAGGCGGAGGTTGCAGTGGGCCAGCATCAAGGGCTGTAAACCAGATTTTCCCTACTCATTTTCATTTTCAACAACACAGAGGGGAAAAAAAAATGACAAAAAAGATTGAAATGAGAGGGCAAAACTGGGAACTTTATGTGTGTATGTGTTTATATTTTATTTTATTTGAGACAGAGTTTCCCTCTTGTTGCCCAGGCTGGAGTGCGATGGTGCAGTCTTGGCTCACTGCATCCTCTGCGTCCCAGCTTCAAGCAATTCTCCTACCTCAGCCTCCCAAGTAGCTGCGATTACAGGCATGCACCACCATGCCCAGCTAATTTTGTATTTTTGGTAGAGATGGGATTTCTCCACGTTGGTCAGGCTGGTCTCGAACTCCCAGTCTCAGGTGATCCTCCTGCCTTGGCCCTCCAAAGTGCTGGGATTACAGGTGTGAGCCACCACGTCTGGCCTATTTATTTATTTTTGAGCCAGACTCTCGCTCTGTTGCCCACGGTGGAATGCTGTAGCTCAGTCTTGGCTCACTGCAACTTCTGCCTCCTGGGATCAAGTGTTTCTCTTGCCTCAGCCTCCTGAGTAGCTGAGATTACAGGCACCACCACTCCCAGCAAATTTTTTTTTTGTATTTTTAGTAAAGATGGGGTTTTGCCATGTTGGCCAGGACAGTCTGGAACTCCTGGCCTCAAGTGATCCACCCATCTCAGCCTCCGAAAGTGCTGGGATTGCAGGCATGAGCCACCATGCTCAGCTCAGAAACACAGATTTTAAAAATAATACCCAAAAGTCCAAAAATACTCAGTAGACATTTGGAAACATATAACTCTAATGAAAAGGAATGACAAAAAGAAAAATACAGAGAAATATAGTAAGTTAGCAATGGAATCATAAGTGAATCTCTGAAAAAAAACCTTTCTGTGTTTATTAAATATGAAAGGGTTATAGCTTGGGGCCTATTGGAAATGTGAATGTGAAGGAAATTGAGTTTGTCAGTGACCAGATTCTTATGTCAACCTTCCTTCTTTCTGCCCTTTCACTAGTACTATTTAGGACCCTACGTTTTTATTGTCTTCACCGGCTTCCTCGTTACCTTCCTGATCTTTACCTTCTTCAAAGTCCCTGAGACCCGTGGCAGGACTTTTGAGGATATCACGCGGGCCTTTGAAGGGCAGGCACATGGTGCAGATCGATCCGGGAAGGAAGGCGTCGTGGAGATGAACAGCATCGAGCCTGCTAAGGAGACCACCACCAGTGTCTAAGTCACGGCTCCTTCCACCTCCCTCCCGGCATGGGAACGCCACCTCTCCCTGAACGTCAGAGAGACCTCATCAGGATGAACCCAGGACGGCTTCTGAATGCTGCTATGTGATTCCTTTCTTATCCCATGCACTCCATGAGCACCCCAAGGCTGGGGTTTGTTGGATTTTTAATGGCTTTGAAAATATTTTGTTTCCTGGACATTCTCTTCTGCTTAGGAGAGACCAAGTGAACCTACCTTCATTTCAGGAGGGATTGGCCGCTTGGCATGTGACAACTTTGCCAGCTTTTCCTCCCTTGGGTTCTAATATTGCCCCACTAGGGCATATAGGAGAGGAAAAGTAAGGTGCAGTTCCCCCAGACTCAGACTCATCAGGAAGCAGATGAGTGTGGAAGGCAGAGGGGCTTTATGTAAGAGCACCTTCTTCACTTCCACACAGCTCTACACGGCAGGTCAGCTTGAGTTTTATTTATTTTATGCTCTGGTTTAATTACATATTTTTTTTTTTTTAACTTTAAGTTGCAGGATACCTGTGCAGAATGTCCAGGTTTGTTACATAGGTATACATGTGCCATGCTGGAAATATTTATTTTTTTAAGTGTAATTTTGCCAAATAATAAAAACAGAAGGAAATTGTGGTTAGAGGGAGGAGTTTAAAGAGAGGTTATAGAGTAGAAGATTTGATACTGGCGAAGTTAAGGTGCACTAAGCAGTTCGGGAGAAATGCAGTTCATTATTGGTGCCTGAGGTCTGCATGTTACCTCTTAACAATTTCTGCCCCTCAGATGGAAACTCTTGAATTTAATTTCTCATAAAAGTCACCTGCCTGTGTATTAAAGCTACTGATTTCCTTGGAACTTTTTTCTTTAATAGTTTACGTGTAGTAGCGATTCTCCTGCCTCAGCCTCCGGAGTAGCTGGTATCACAGGCATGCACCACTATGCCCGGCTAATTTTGTATTTTTAGTAGGACAGGGTTTCTCCAAGCTGGTCAGGCTGGTCTTCAACTCCCGACCTCAGGTGCTCCACCAGCCTTGCCTTCCAAAATGCTGGAATTACAGGCATGAGCCACTGCACCTGGCCTAATTGACTTTTTTGGTGTGGTTTTGTTGTTGTGTTTTTCATTTGGGATTTTTGGGTTTTTTTTTTTTTTTTTTTGAGACTGAGTTTCGCTCTTGTTACCCAGGCTGGAGTGCAATGGCGCGATCTCGGCTCACCGCAACCTCCGCCTCCTGGGTTCAGGCAATTCTCCTGCCTCAGCCTCCTGAGTAGCTGGGATTACAGGCACGCGCCACCATGCCCAGCTGATTTTTTGTATTTTTAGTAGAGACGGGGTTTTACCATGTTGACCAGGATGGTCTCGATCTCTTGACCTCGTGATCCACCCGCCTCGGCCTCCCAAAGTGCTGGGATTACAGGCATGAGCCACCGCGCCCGGCCCCGATTTTTGGGTTTTTTGAGACAAGAGTCTCATTGTGTTGCCCAGGCTGCAGTGCAGTGGTATGATCTTGGCTCACTGCAACCTTTGCCTTCCAGATTCAAGAAATTATCCTGCCTTAGCCTCCCAAGTGTGCGACCCTTGGTTGTGGGACCCCAACCCACGGAGGCAGGCACCCAGTAGACATGAGGCAGGACGCATGGTGACCGGTACCGACTTTATTGGGATCTCCGGGCGACTCAGGGGGACGGGGATGAATCGCGCTCGCTTTCTTTGTTCGGTTGACTTTATAGGGACAGAGGGCCTGGGGCGGTAGGAGAGCTGACCTGGCAGGTAGTAATTGGCTAGGTTGATTGCTGGGCAGGAAGCCTGCCGGGGCGGGAGCTTGTGGGACGGGAGGTTACGGGAGAGCTGGTGGGGCGGATGGTGATTGGTTCAGTGGGCCGCTGGGCGGGAAGGTTGCTGGTCTTGGGTCCGGCCAGGATAGAGTGAGATAAGGGGCCTTCCCTGTGGGGGAGGAAGGGCCTTCCTTTTCGGGAATTAGGCCCTTTCCACATGGCTGGGGAACGGGGCCAAAAGTCCTCTACCAGACACCAAGTAGCTGAGACTACAGATGCAGCCCATCACACCTGGGTAATTTTTGTACTTTTAGTAGAGAGGGAGTTTCACCATGTTAGCCAGGCTGGTCTCACTCCTGACCTCAGGTGATCCACCCACCTTGGCCTCCCAAAGTGCTAGGATTACAGGCATGAGGCACCGCGCCTGGCCTAATTGATGTTAATTAAGCGCATCAGTCTGAGTCCTATCAGAAGCCAAAAATCTGGCCATCTGGCCAGGTGCGGTGGCTCATGCCTGTAATCCCCGAACTTTGGAAGGCCGAGGCGGGAAGATCACCTGAGGTCAGAAATTCGAGACCAGCCTGACCAACATGGTGAAATCCTGTCTCTACTAAAAATACAAAAATTAGCCAGGCATGGTGATATATGCCTGTAATCCCAGCTACTCAGGAGGCTGAGGCAGGAGAATTGCTTGAACCCAGGAGGAGGAGGTTGCAATGAGCCAAGATCAGGTCACTGCACTCCATCCTGGGCGACAGAACAAGACTCTTGTCTCCAAAAAAAAAAAAAAAAAGAAGACAAAAATCACACATTTTTTTACAGGGAGAGGTTAATATAAAGAATATCAAGCTATAATAAAAGTAACTGTAAGAAGTAAGAGAAAATGCTGTTTCCTAGGGCTGAGGGCGATTATCCAAGAAAGGACATACTTGGAAGAAAGGCCACTGCCGTCTCTTCAAAACTGAGGTGCACACTGTACTGGAGAATGTAGAGTCGCAGGCCACTGGATAGCAGAGAAGTTTGGAGGTTTGCCCAGGCCAGTGCTGGTGTGCAGTCCCTGGGCAAGCAGGGAACACACAGCTGGTGACCAGACATGCATATGTGCAGAGGGAGTCCAGGCACAGAGGGGTAGGAGGCCTGGAGCGTGGCATCCCTGTGGAAAGTGACCTCCAGGCCAGGGCGTGGCTGGGGCAGGTCACCACCAAGTTTCCTCTCGTCTACACTGTTGACCTACGGTTCGGCCACTGGAACCAGCAATAGAACCGCCTTTCATCCTGCGGTACCCTTCCAGACCATCTTCTGAGAAAGCATTGTTCTTAGTACTCTTAAAAAAAAAAATGCTTAAAGGAATTCCATTCATTTAAAAGGAGGTATTGAGGGATGAATTTGGAGTTGACAGACAATATATTGATCACTAGCACAGTAAGTGTTAGATGGCTGGGTAGGTAACAGTGGGTTTTGGTTGAGAGGCTGTCCCCCTTCCACACCTCCCAAAGCCACCTGGGGTTTCAGAGAAAATTCAAGTTAAAACTTGTCCCCCACCCTGACAGCCCCCCTCCTTTTTGTGGTTTTTTTTTTTTTTTTTTTTTTTTTTTGAATCGAGTGTTGGTGGAAGAAACTTGGCCAAGGTTCCCCAAGTGGAGGTTCAGCTAGGGGTCACCTGCCAAGTGGGGGGCAAGTGAGACCAAAAAAAAAAAAAAACGGTGGAGGGAACACCTCTGGGCCTGGAGTGTCATAGCCGCAAGATGCTGTTGCAGCCAGACTGCCGGTGAGACTTGTGCGGCCCGCTCCGGCTTCAGCTCTGGCTCCGGGCTTCGGGCCTTCATCACACTGTCCTCTATCATCATGAGCTGTGGATACTCAAAGAATGGCACCTATGAATCATCTAGTAACAAATCTGTCTTTTTAATCAGGGGCCTTCCATGCACTGATGTGGCTGAAACTGCAGTTCTCACCAACCTTCACCCTCTTCGTGCCCCCAGCGAGCACTGAGCCCAAGCCCAGCAGCCCCAGATTTGGAGATCCTGCAAAAGGTAGGGGCTGGCCGGGCACTATGGCTCACACCAGTAATCCCAGCACTTTGGGAGGCCGTGGCAGGAGCATCAGAAGGCCAGGAGTTCGAGACCAGCCTGGCCAACCTGGTGAAACCCCATCTCTATTAAAAATACAAAAATTAGCCAGTTGTGGCGGCACATGTCTGTAGTCCCAGCTACTCAGGAGACTGAGGCAGGAGAATCACTTGAATACAGAAGGCAGAGATTACAGTGAACCGAGATTGTAATGCTGCACTCCAGCCTAGGTGACTCCATCTCAAAAAAAAGAAAGGGAGCCTCAGTGGCTTGTCCTGGCACTTGAGGAGGCAAAGCTATGCGTTCGAGGCCAGCCTGGGCAACATAAGAACCACTCATTCATTAAAACAAACAAAAGTAAAAAAATAAATAAAATAAAAAGGCAGGGCCTGGGTCTCACCGGCTCCCCGAGAGTCCCCTTCACTCTGCAGGCTTGGGCAGCCTCAGAACCCTGTTATTCTTACATGGTTCTGCTCATGATTACCAATATTCTTTGCTTTTCACCCAGGATATACCTGGAACCCAGTGACCTTGACCTACTTTAAAAGGCAGGCTTCAAATGCAAGTCAGTGAATTTAACTGCCCTTTCCGAATTGCTCTAGGCTGTGTTACTTGATAGAGTTGAATGCTGAGTTGGGATACATTTCAGGGATAACATTCAAATTCATTTATTTCTTCCTTTTTTTCTTTTCTTTTCTTTTCTTTTTTTTTTTTTTTTTTTTTTTTTTTTTTTGTACCTGGTAAGTATATGTTGTGTTTTTTTATTTTTTTGAGACAGAGTCTCACTCCTTCGCCTGGAGCCAGGCCGGATACAATGGCGAGACCTCGGCTCACTGCAGTCTCCGCCTCCCGGGTTCAAGCAATTCTCCTGCCACAGCCTCCTGAGTAGCTGAGACTACAGGCCAGTGCCACCACGCCCGGCTAATTTTTGTATTTTTAGTAGAGACAGGGTTTCACCACATTGGCCAGGATGATCTCAATCTCTTGACCTCGTGGTCTGCCCGCCTCGGCCTCCCAAAGTGCTGGGATTACAGGCGTGAGCCACTGCACCCGGCCTCTTCCTTTTTTTCTTTCTTTTTTTTTTTTTTTGAGATGGAGTCTCACTGTCTCCAGCCTGGAGTGCAGTGGTACAATCTCGGCTCACTGCAACCTCCAAC